GAGTTATAGAATTAAACCATCCATAATATGTATATGAAATAAGCATATTATATTATTATGTTCAATTTAAATAGTTATATATAAATTCCTAATTCGGTTAGGTTAAGTCCTAGTTAAGTCCATTTGGTAGACAAAAAATAACTATATTGCCTGTTATAATACTGTTACTTATTACGCTATAGGTACATTATAATTTTTAATATTATACTTGAATATTTGGAGGATAATAATTATAAAGGTCTCCGAAGGTTAAAAAATCGCCCTACAAACCATGTCGCACGATCGATTTGACGTTATTAATAATTCATTAAAAACCAAAGGTAAAATCGGAACAATGACTAGTTGTTTTTCGCGTAGTATATATTGTCGTCGTAGACAATATTATTTTAAACGTGTCCTGCGATGCGTGCAGCGGTGTCTCGACGTAGTGTTATATTATTATTATGGTCGTTTACATGTGTTGAAACAAAAAGAGAAGTGTATAGCTGGTAGGTTGGTCTATAATATACAACGACTGAATGACGTACACTTGCACCGATGTAGTTTTTCATACAAATCGCGTTTCCCAATTAAATCGGCCTTACAAAATAATTATTGCGTCTCTCGCAGAACGTTTTTCGAAACATAAGTAAAAGGTAGTGCAATCGAACATAAAACCAGTTTCGAAAAATCACGTCGCTGGCAAAAGCTTTTAACTTCCCCTGTCACGCGACCTTAACACTTTGATGTTCTGTTTCCTATAATATAATATCAAAACCGGCGAAATGATATTTCCTGTTTGTCGGCGATGAATCGACAATAAAACCCGCCAAAACGCAACACACGCGGTTATATCCAGTGACAAAATATCAATTGGACAAAAATCGTACAAAATCGACTGGAAGTTAAAAAACTACTTCTCGGGGACATTGGATAATCGTACTTAACATATTTTCAGAAAACAATTTTCTCCCCTCGAATGTACATGATACATACCGATTACCGACGAAAAAGGTCACCGGCTCCCGAGTTGACTAAGTTTAATTCGCGATTGTCGGCGACATAATATATTCCGAGTACCTACCTATTTATTATAATAATAACAACGATAGGTACCTAACTACCCAACTACGATAATAATATTATTATGTAATAACATGATATCATAACATAATTATCTACCTGTTTATTATACCATTGATTATAAATACTATTTATAATCAATGATTATACTAATCATAATATTTTATTTAATAATATATACACTATACAATGGCGGTAGCTATACTAAGTGTTATGAAAAACTCACGATTCTTCGACGGGGTGTATGGCTTGTCCTGCGCACTGAGTGCAATTGTCGTATTATCCAAAACGTCGACAGGTAAGTGCGGGTAATGGAAACAACGGCAACGCAGATGAACGTATAGGTAAATAACGATCGCCGCGGACGCAGTCGATAATATTATTTCGCACAGTCGACCGACTGCCGAGTCGTCAGAGGGGTGGATAACCGATAAGAACCGGTTGAACTTTTTCGGCAATCGATAAATTAAAAATACTATCGTTCTGTATTATTATCCGTGTTGTCTATGATCGCGACTGACGTTTGGAAAACCGTCGTACTATGGGCACGTTTGAAATTCGAATCAATAACCCGCGTGGGCACGAGACCAGAAAGACTAAATAAACGAAGCACTGCGCGTGAAAAATTCTCTCGGTCGACAAGCCCTGTGAGAGGGACAAAATATTCTAATTACGATTTATTATAATATTATATCACACAGTAAACGATATTATATGGGCAGTACGTGCGTGCGAGCGCTTGTCGAACCAGCCGGTCGCGATACGTATCGGTGTGCGCACTGACTGTCGTCTGCGTGCGTGTGTGCGTCGGCCGGCGAGCGAACGTTTTGGCCGGAAGGTCAGCTGATTAGAAAGAAAGTACCTGCCGCCGCAGTGGTGGGAGTCACGCGACGTCGATCGAGTACCGCTGTGCGCTTATAAAATTATTATTTATTATATTATTATTATACATTTTATTACTATGGTAAGGCTGCATTTAGTGAAATGTTATTATTATTGTTATATTGTTTGTTATTGTTATTATATGCTATATTGGGCATTAGAGCTTCCCCTCCCTCCCCGCCGGTGGATTCGTACGCGTTTGCATATTTTTTTCCTGTCCATCTGCAATTTGCCAAGAGAGCACGATGTTCGTTTGACGGCCTCAACGTCAAACGCATTTTATTAAAAAAAAAAAAAAAAATACGGGGTATTTTATTTTATCGAATTTATAGCGCGGGCCTCAGGGATCATACGCAATGTAGAATTATAGACTATAGAATATTATAAAGTAAACGTGGTATACCTAAATAACAGGACCTACCCTATACGAGGGTATGTTTACACTTTACACACAGTTTTTGTATGGAATCCGTGGTTATAACTTATAGACTACTAGTCTAGTAGTAACTCTAAGGTCCGTTCTTTACCAATGTCCGGTAAAGTGTTGGTTAACAGCTAACCGACTGATAACAGATTTTTATTAACGACCAGAACTTCTTCCGGTAAGTTGTCGGTAACTTAACCGGACGTGTACCTAGACGTATTACGTAGTACGATTTTACACAAATTTGTTTTTCGTGCCAACTGCGGGAAATACGGTAACTCACAGTTTGCATCAAACCGTTGAATGTACACTCTGCCCAATTATGTTTAAGGTTGTCAGTTTCACTTCATAGTTCATACACAATACCGGTGGATCTAATATACATTTTAAATGTGGCTCATCCATCATAAATAAACGGATACTTGATTATTTCTCCACTGCACGGAAAATCAATAATTCATAGTTGTGCTTCTGAGAGTACTTGAAGTACATAGGTATTCATGATTCAATGTTTTTTCCTGCATGCTAAACACGCTAGCGAAAACTCAATGAAGCTCGCTATAGCTTATTTTTGTCGTTATGTGAACCGTAAAATGGTCTATGGAATGAAGATATGTTGTAATTATATCATTACAAGTTAAAACTATAAGGTGTGATCGAAGATCCAACAGCTAGTAAGAGCATCAAGTTTAATCTTACCACATGCCCTATGAACCACCCTAAGCCATATTAGAACCGGGGAGGGAAAGTGTAATTCTCTACTACATTATGGAAGAACAAACCATCAGACATTCAGACACATGGTTGAACATTGCCCACTAATGAAATTAATGGAGGCATCAACTCAGCCAGTGCGGATGCTATCGAATGGATGGGAAACTTATATGTTCACGTGTGATCCACCTTACTCAAAATAAAAGAAGATATGGAAATCATAAGTTATCAAAGCCTACAATCTATAACCAAATTCAATAATTATACAAATTAATTTTACCTTTTTACATATTCTTCTTAGGTGTATTATTTACATTTATTTATATTTATTTGTGTTTATGTTTATATTATATTTTATTATTTAGTATTTACTATATTGGTTTACATTTTTATATCAAAGTTATTCTATGTACTTTCCGGAGCCATAATGTTAAAAAAAATTTGGTGTCTATCTTTATAGTGAAACTACTTCGAAACTTAATATCACTAAAAAGTAAAAATATAAGCAACATTGTCATGTGTGTTTACTGATGATTATTGAAAAATATAAATATTAGTCCTAGCCAGTAGGTTGTTAGTATACATTGTATACTTACTAATTACTACAATCTATTACTTACCAAATTACATGTTGATACTTGATATGAATATATGATGCAACCAATTGCAGGTTTGTTGATAATGTGATAACTGATAATTTTCGTACAATGAATATAAATATACACTAATATCATAGACCTTTTACTTATAGACTAGCCCATCCTATACCAAAAGCATTGACATAGCGCAACGATGCAGCCCGTTAAGTATAAATATAAAATATATACCTAGTATGAATATAGGTATTATATTATATTTATTTTGTACCTTATCAGAGTAACTCAGTAACAGAAAAGTGCCAACTCTCTTGACTCGGTGGAAACGTGAAGAGGACTTGTCTATTAGTAAAATGTCGATGACTAATATCACTGATTATTATAATATTATTATTCATAAACAATGCTAATATGCTAAAATGTATTATGTACCTAGTAGTAGTGGTTCATTCATTCTATATTATTACTACCTATGGTGGAAAACCATTATGCGTAACCTACTAATATGACCATTATGTCAAATCATAGAATATAAATTAATAATTAAATATTAAGAATAATAATAATATTAGGGACTGATGTGTATCTTATACACATACCTTGATAAGCCACCTATCTTCAGGAAAAAATAGTGACGACAGCTCTCAAATGTTTGGCCGGAATGTCGTTGCACTGCACACTACTATATAACACTTGCGGATGTCTTTGAAAAATGATTTAATCTAGAAATATTTCAAAATTCAGAAGGCCTTACGGACGTGATGAAAATGGTCGGTTGCGCTTGCGACGGTTTCAGCTTTCCTTGGAAGTAAAATTGAACATTGACTTGACGGAGATTATCGCGTACGCAAAGAGTGCATTAGATAATAAAAACTTGGATAGGACACTTATCAGCAGTGATTAATGATTCCAGTTGAGGCCAAATAAGTGTATATACCTTATGTCGAGTATTGACTTTCAATATATACATAATCATATTACACAAAAATTTAAATAAACGGCCTCAATTTATTATCACTTCACGACTACAAAAATATTGTGCATGGACTCATACTCATCTGTGATGTCCCATCCATGTTTTTATTGTCTATGAGGGAGTGGCTATCGCCAGAGGTTACCACGTGTGGTTGAATTAGGTAAGGCAAACCAACGGTTCACACGTGTAACCGCAAAAGTCATGGCGGAAATAATTGTCGTGGATGGCGATGCAAAAACGGTTGGTGATAAGATCCTCGACTGAAAGGTCATCGCACTACCCCTACACGTATTTCGTAGAAGCACTCAAAAACTAGGAGGCGAAAACGGTTTGTCCGGCTGAAAATATGCATATTGACATGACATGTTCGGCTGAAAATATAACATGTTCGGCTGGAAATATGACGGTCAATCTCTCAATAGCACCTGTCGTGCATAGTTCGAGTTCAGAGTTGGTTTATACCGGTGACTTCAGGCAATCTTATACCACGAATTTAAAACTTCACTGGGTTTTTCGATGGTCACGGTTGCGATGGTCGGCTCGAAAGTTACGGTCAAGCCGTCAAGGATTAAAAGAACTTTTAAATGGATCTGGTATCTGGTGTGATATTAGTATATCACTGGATCAGCATTTATACATTTTTATGATTTAGCGGTACCTACTGTATAATTATAGTTATAGATCTCCGAAACTCATAATTTCCATATTAATTTTCTTTATAATACAATACTTCTATACCTATTTTGTTATGCTACCTGTAATACGTAATATATAGAGTTACCGGAGACACTGTGACTGACAGTACATTTCGTGGTCATTCGCGGTTAGTGATAACCCATTCGCGAATACTGCAGTAGTTAGTAGCTACTAAAGGTACTTAATATACACAATACAGATCGTCGACCGTCGTGAGCTGCCAAGATTATGACGTTTCGGGCTACGCATCAAGGTAAGACGCACATTAGTCACCAGCTATAGAATTTTATTTACTGGAGGATATTACACCTTGGAGGGGATATCATAAGCTATAATAGGTATGGGCTTTATGCGTAAAAAAATCCATATATCCTGCACCAAATTGTTAATTACACCACCAGCCGTATGGTTGAGCGACACGGACCAGTGGTAGCTGTAGCTGGCAAAGTAATTTCCCGACAACGGCTGTAGCGCGACGATCACGATGAAAAATATCTTTACAGACACTGTCTAGTCACGAAGTTGAGACAAACATACAGCCGTCTGTAAATAACATTGAAATAAATCAGTTTACACACCAACGACGACAATAATAATATGTTATCGTCCTACGAACTCTGGACCTACGACAAAATACACCGACCATATTGTCATATTGTTTTAAATAGATGCGCCCCTATAACATGCACTATAAAAGGTAGGTATAGGTATATTTTACTATTATAATGACTAGAGATAATGACAAATATTTTAATAGAGATCGAATTTGCTTTTTTATCAATACTGAAATGGTGAATCATCATTTGATTGGTTCACAGTGCCCGCTGGTTTTTTTAAACCATTATATTATGTTGTACTTCGAACGAAACCAAACACGTTTAAATGAACATAATAAGCTTGAGGTTTTTTTTTTTCAAAAAACCATGTCTCACTATTTAATAATTTTGCTTTTATCATTGAAACGATACAAACATCTGTCAACAAAAGAGCGTATTTCAAACGAACTACCAACGAATTAAATGGTGCCGATTGTTTCGTTACATTTAAATAAATACAAAAAATAGAATAAAAACGATAATTAAAAAATGATAATATTATGTACTATTACTTTTCCTGGTATTATTAAATTGATAAAACTTCCTAAATGACTTTATCGACTATCGTCCAAATGCATACTAACTAGTAATTATGTGCTAATTTTTAACTAAATATTTCACTTGGCGGTGTAAGGAGGGTGTTACGTTAATCCAGCTACCTGTGATTTTAAATGTTTTTTTTTAAAAAAAACTCGTAATTATGGACAGTATGGGTCCTGCAAATCCTGAAAATGCTCATGCAAATTCATGCTTGTTATTTGTATTCATATTTGTTAAATGGAGAACGCGGCATTGTAACTGAGTCCTAAACTCCTAACCAGAATATCTATATGTATGATTATAACTCACTCGGGATTTAAAGCTTAAAAATAGGAAACTTTTTTTCGTCAAAGTACACAATATGTATTACCTAAGTTAATAAAAATCAATTATATTTATAAAATTGTAAATACTCAGATCCAAATCAGCAAAATGTATGTAACATACTTTTTATATTAAAGTTCAAAGTATCAGATAAAAATTAAATTATGATGTCTGTTTCAATTTTTCTATTATTTTTATTTGTATGTAAAATATAATTCGCATAATCAACAACTCTAAATAATTTACAACGTCGATGCTTATCTATTATAGTTAGTAGTTACCCACTACTATTCAATCAACGTTAGCAAAAATAATCATATAACTAATATTAAATATTCAATAAAATACTTAAATTTGTTTATATATTATATACATTTCAAATTCTGAGAGAAGCGATAAATGTATTGGTTTTACAATGTGATTGTTTTTTTTTTAAATTTTTTTTTTGTTCTTGTGTACACGATAAGTAGTCGAAGTAATGATTCGTTTTTCAACTTCAGTATCTTGTTCGATGGGAAAATGAATCTAGTTGGTGCATTGGGGAGGGTAAATATTATTCCCAGTAATTTTCAAAAGTGCCGAGAAAAAAAATGTATAAACAATAATATGTGATAGTAAATAATATCACTATTAATGCAGTACATCAACTATTGAATTATCCATGCAAGTATCCTACATTCACAAGACATGATACACCATACACCATTGTAAATTTAAATAAATTGCATTTATTTAAATGGAGTTTTACATAAGTTACCCTTTATGCAATATGAATACAATAGTAGGTAGGTACAAACATTTAATCTTGGCGACTTGACTAAAATGTTTTGGAATAAAAAAATATATCATCTAACTGCTATTACCAACATTATCCCTTACATCAAGTCTCTAACTTAATATTAATATTTTTAATTTCATTAGTTTCAAATTTCAGTTGGAGTTTTCTATATTATAGTTAAAAAATTAATTGCATGAAAAACCATTCTGTTATCGTGCATTTAATAAGGGAGAATTGTACTTATTACTTTATTTATTTTATATGATAAATTATGTAGAGTTGTCTTAGAAGTAAGAACATAATATGATTATAATTTAAACAATAAGGAAGGCAATATTCAAATAATTAATCTAACTGTTAAATCCGTTCTATAGTACTAATAGAACCCGCCGAAAAGTTTAAATTTATTTTACGTTTTTGAACAGAGAACCGGTGGACGGGAACTGCTTTCACATTGCTTCGACGTAAGCAGTGTTCGGGCTTATCTAGATAATTATTTGTTCATCTTTTATCTTATCTAGATAAATAGTTACAAGGTATCTAATCGTTCATCTTAGATAATTTTTTTACTAATCTAAATAAATTCATCTAGATACATTTTTTATTGATAAAAACGCATTTTTAAATATTTATACAGATTCTCAAACAAAATGTATGGTTTATAAATAATGTTATTATTTTTATTTTTATCATTATTATTATTATGTTCCTAGTTCCCAACGTTCCCAATGTAATAGATGTTGTATACCTATTTACAATAAGTACAACTATTTGTCATTTGTCAACATTTGTGATGATTAATATTATATAATATAATATATTAAATTAAATTGAATTATTACTTTGGGGGATCAAAATTAAAAATTCCTAGTACTTTGCTTAATATAAATTAGGAAAAGAAAAAATATTGAGGAAAACGGGAATTTTTCACTAGCAATAGTTCACCAGTTTGATTTTCTTATTTTGTTGTAATTCAAAAACTAATAAGTAATCACCTTAGATACTTGCAATTGTCACCTAATTGTTTGAATTATAGCATTTCCATGCTAGACGTGCTTGTACCTAGGTAGTAGGTATTCTTGTTTTTCGATTAGACCTAACGCGTCGAGCTCTATAATATCCTATGTACTCTGGAGATAGCATGGTAATATAGTATAACTAACTGGATTCTATAATTCTATCGTAGGTCTGTAGTAGGTTATGTTCATTCATTCATCGAGGTCCTTTTTCTAATCAGTTCGTTAGTAAATTAACATTAGGTATTAATAATTGTTTATAATATTGTATGACGCAATATGTCTAACGTAGTATAAGCACAGGAACTAAAATCATCGCCTAATATCAAGTTTTTGTATTTTGAGGATTAACAACGTACCTACAACGAAATCATTTATACAAGGTAAGCAGGAACTTATCGGTGTATATTTTTATTTATTTATAATTTTAGGCAATTAGATAAGTAATTCGATGGCTGAATGCCTGTTACCTGTATATTATTCGCAATCATAGTATTGATAACTTTTTTTCTATATTATTTAAATTTAACAATTTTTTTTATAATATATTAATTTAGTTTTGTAAATTAAATAAACATTGAATATATAGATATGGATGAATCTAGATGAATCGATGTTCACAAATGTAGAAATAAATAAGTGATAAAACAATCTACTGTCAGTTGTCACCTATGTAATTATGTTGTTACTGTACAGTGTACAAAAATAATCTCCGTTGATAATGAACGAAAATAATGTAAACCGATTACTTTAAAATGAACTCGTGAAAATAAACCTTTGTTCTAACTTATAAATGTGTAATATTGACTATTGTACACAGAAGTATGAAATGAGAATTAATTATCTTCCATATGTCATGACTCATGACGACCGTGAAAATACTGTATAACTGTTAAACTGTACAATATATAGGTATAATAACTTAGGAGTTTTTTTTATAAAGATAAAACCTAAGTATATTAACGAATTGTATTATATTAAATAACTTTTGTTAGAACATTAACCTTTACTTAATATATATCTTTCCCACATTGACACAATAAAATCATTGATGACAACAATAATATTTTTACCTGTAGTACCTCAGAAATGATAATATAGTTTAACAATGGGTGTGGATTGGGTTAATTTTATAACCCAAGCATGAAGCAGTGCCTATACTTAAATGCCAAACTAATTCAATTTTAAGATTCAAGAAGACTATATTAATATAATATAACAAACTATTTAATCATGCTGTCAAACTGTTTTCTGGCCAAATAAAAATTGTATTTAAAAAAATACGATAGTAGTATACTATAACAAAATTTGATATACATTTATTATATATTATTTATCTATTGATTTTTCTATCCAGAGATGGTTTTTACTTTGTAATTTATGTAAACAAATTAGAGTTTATAATATACTCGGAAGTTTTTTAAAAATTGAATGATTATTATTAATTTACAATATTTTATTTTAATTATCTTAGGTTATTAATATAGTTTTTAATTATTATTATTATTTTTGGCATGATACATTGAAAATAACTAATTTACATAATTACATAATATATTATACCTATAAGAATACTTTTATTATACTATGAACTATTATGCATAAGTGTTTAAAAATATATCATGTTATAACTTATAAGTTATAAGTACTTAAACAAACACAAATACAAAATATTTCACATATTAAAAGAGTTAAAATTATG